ATTTGGAGGCAGATACCTTGAAAACTATAGACCAATTGGTTGGAGGTGGTAACTTGAAGTATGTAGACTGATTTGGAGCTAGGTACTTTAGACCAATTTGGAGGTTGATACCTTGAAAGCTGTAAGCTGATTTGTTGTATAGATACCCTAAACTGTAGGCTGATTTGTAAACAAATATATTAAAACTGAAGGCAAATTTGCAGGTAGATATTTTGAAAACGGAGGCAGAATTTGCAGGGAAAGATGCATTGAAGCTAGAGGTGGATTTGGAGGATGACACTTTGACACTGGAGGTGGAAATATTGAAATTCCTGGATGCCTTCTAGTCATTTCTGTTTATACAATAAGAGAGATTAACATAGATGCACCCATTACCCTTTAAAATTGACCTCAGTCACAGCTCTTCATCGTGGGTTTTCACCATGAGCTAAATGGTAATAGGATCAGAGCCCTAGTTCCTGGAGTGACCTTACCCCGTTGTGGTTTTTATCAGCTGTAAATTATGCATGAGCCTCTTGTTAAAAGACTAGCATTGTAAGAGAACCCATATCTGTCCCATTAAGGAGTGCACAGGCTGGGAAGCTCCATGGGGCTATTGTGTTGCAGTGTCTCTCGCCCACTGAGGAAGGGTAAGACCAGTGGAACCGGAATGCCCAGATCAGTCATTCTCATGGCCCCTCTTTACGGTCCTGTCTGGAGGATGTGGTTAGATCCCATCTCCACCATTCATCACTCATGTTGCAATTTACAGACTGTCTCTCTCTCAGAAATACAGAAGGTTCAATATATCATTGTTCCCTGGTTGACAGGAGAGTCTTGAAGTTGAAACAAAGTTTGTTTGGAGCCTGGTTTTATTTGGAGCGCATCATGAATTTGTACAGACACGTTATAATTTGGGACAGCCACAACTCATGCAGATAGTCCTGGGAAAATATGTAGAGCTTTAAAACACTGTAACTCTGTAAAACCTAACAAGTTTATGTGCTATCTGCTGCCTACTTAGGTGACTGCCTTCTAAGGCAAAATCCTAGACATCATGAACCTTCACAAGGTGCTGAATTGAAGATTCTACATATGCAACAATGCCTTGTGCCACATGAATAGCATTTGACTGGTATGATTCCAATAAAGTTTGAATATAGCAAGGAGGCTAGAATAGTCCAATTTAATTTTCAGTATTTGAAGAAATACATATATTTGTCTTCATTGAGCTCGGTGCAGTGCATTCTGGGAATGTCTCCCAAAAGATGCATGCTATTCTGTCTTAGAATTTGGCCAAAATTAAGTATCTTAGAAAGTAAAAAAATGTTGCTTCCTACCTTTCGGAACAGCATTTGCATTTTTAGTGCTTACAGTGCCTTTAAAATCTGTTTAGGGAACTCGCTAGGTTTTGGAACAGAGCAATCATTTAAGTAATCTATTAATGTATTTAGTTTTAAGAGTGTCAGAGTCATCAGATGTTATGATAGCCATTCTCTTTTCAAAGAACTCACTCATTTGCATGAAGCCAAACAATATCCCAGGAAATTTTCCAGGGCTTTTCCCATTCCTGTGTGGACTAAACGTATTGTGTGTCTCCCTTGTCTGTTTGAGTTTATATCATGTGAGTGTGTTTAGACTGAATAGATGTCGTAATAGACATGCATTAAGTTGCCAAATGCTCTCTGTATAGTGTGTAGGGATTATGCTCATGTCTGCTATCCCAGCATGCATCTCTATCTTTGTCACTGGATACTTGCATGCCAAACAGTTGGCCATTATACCCTGTAATGAGGAACAGATAGGATAAATTGTCCAATAAAAGCAGGCCGTCTCTGAGATTCAGAGCAGTCTAGACTGACTTGATGAACCGTGACATCCTTCGTTGTTTTACTGGATCCTTTTTTTCTTTTTTTTGCACAGCTGCATCAGAACAACTCTGGTGCTTAGTCGCGTTAACACTTCTAAAGCAGCAGTTTTCAGCTCCTAAAAATATTTAGGTTTCTTATGAAAACCATTGCGAGAAAAAAGATTGTTTTCTTTATTTCTCCTGCAAAGTATGAATTCTCCCCTGGACCAATCTAAATGAGGTTACACCTCTGCCTGAAACACTTTAGCAATCAATAAGTAATGGGGCAGCTGGCTGGCTTGTAAGTGCTTTGTTGAATATCTAGCAGCAACGTTTTAAAGGCTAGGGTTTTTACATTTGTGTTTGTTGGCTGAAATCTCACTCAGCTGTCATCTAGTCCTCCAGCGATCTCCAATGTTATGACTAACTTTTTGCCTGTGTAATCTCCATTTATTAATGTCAATGTTTGGGTGTGGAGCTGCAGACCCCATTTGAACAGATGATGCCGGTTTAGAGAGTGATTATGTGTCTTTTTGAAATATGACATGTTGTGTTTTAATCTTTTGTACACTTCAGTTTTTTCCCCTGTAAATAAAATATATAGTTCAGTCATGAAACTCTAGATGGCGCAGGCTGACGGGTTGTTAAGGTAAATGATGATAGTTTAGAGAGTTAAACGACTTGGCACAAGCTGATTGGTTCATGCTGCATATGCAGCCAATGAGCTTACTGCCTTGCATTTATATGGCTGGCTAGCATTCACTTGAGATTCCTGCAGCGCACGTTCAGAGTTTCTCTGAAGCCCTCCACCTTCCCCAACTCCACCTGTATAGATCTGCTATGGGTTATTTTATATGCTGTTTGTGCAGCAGCAGTATGTCTTAAATACTCACGGCACCGTATCACCATATGCATTGGCGGTAGAAAGTTCCTGTACTTACTTGCAGCAGCAGCAATAATCTACAACTACAGCAATAACCAACAGCAGCAGCAATTCAGCAGCAGCGTAGCAGATCTATTCTGCCAAGACCAAATACATTAACATTGTCATATCCATCACCATGCTAAAATCTTCCGAGAGTTGTCATGATTAAACTACAGTTCATTGTAATTTCTGGTTTATGTCCAAGTCTGTGAGGCTTTCAGCTTGATTTTTCTCCTCCTTTCTGTCTTCTTCCAGACTTCAGCACTTTTAATTGCCAGATCCTCAGCATTCACCATCACAATTTGGTAGTTTTCGCCTATAGCTTTATTTCCTGGCCTTTGGACCTTTGGGATTACAAAAAGGAGTGTCTTAAATTACTTCAATAATTGCTTCAATAATGTTTTTTGAACCACAAATTTAAGATTTCAAGCCAGAATGTCTGTTTTTGCTTGACATCAAATAGATGTGAACAGAAGTTGCAGAGTTTCTAAATTTTTTGTGGCATAGCGGCGGTGCCTGTGCCATCAGTCACAGCCGTGAGAGACTGGAAAAGAAAAAAGAGAAACAATCTCTCTGCTGAACACAGCGCTGGTTAGAATTGATTAGCGATGCTGTTGCGGTTTCGTCAAAGCTGCTGGGGCTTGGCAAGCCATCTCAGGCACGGTCCTCTGATTGAATGAGATTAATTTGTAAAGGAATGAATTATGTTTGTCTTTTACCCATCCCCCTTATTTTTTGCGTATTTTTTTATTTTTTTTTATTCTGTGTGAGGAGAACATATTTGGCAGCAAACATCAGGCTTGGACTGAGGGGAGTGCGTGTGGGTATAATGATGAATTGCTGCTGAAATGGAAAGTGCGTACACGCGTGCCTCCTCTGGCAGCACGCGGAGGGTGGAGGAGGAATTGAGACATACGACTTTCCAAAGATTTTAGTATTCCATGCTGTTTCACGGGGAGAGTTGAACTGAAATGTAGAGTCAGTGAGTTAGAAGTCTACAAAAGGAGAAGCTGTGATGAGTGAGTGTGAGAGGCCTTTAAAGTTAGCAGTTTGACTTATCCTTAGTAGTATTTATCATCAGCTGCTGCTGAAGTCTTCACAGCACATAATGGAGAACTTAATTACATTGCAAAACATTGACGTGAATCAACATTCAGAGGAAGAGTTAGACAACATCTCGCAAGTGTCCGTTAGTGTGGTTGTGTCAAGTCACTCACTCACAGGGACTGTCTGCACTGATTCTTGAGATGTGTGACAAAAATAGCAAAGTTTCCAGAATCAGAGATGATCACTACAGTGTCCATAACACAAATTGACCATTTCAATTGATTTTCACTATTTTATTAGAATTACTTTGAATTTACTTTAATGTTACTATTATGCCCTGACTATGGACACCCATTTCTGCCTAATATCACAATTCTGAGAAGAAGAAAAAAATCGGAGTTGTGCGATGTAAGCACCAATTTCAGGAAAAAAATGGTCAGATGTAAACTAAAAATTCTCTAAAAAAGTAAAAAAAATAAATAAATAAAAAGTCAATTAATAGCCTATGTCACAATTCTGACTTATTTTCTCAGAATTGCAAGTCTCATTATTCTGCCTTTTATATCTTACAATTCTGTCTTTTTTTCTCAGAATTGTGAGATAAAATGTCACAATTACCTTTATTTATTTATTCCATAGTGGAAACGGACATCCATACCTGACAGACAGAAGAGGTTCATTATAAAAATGTTCCTGTTGTATAAGGTTTCATAGCTTTGTCCTTTCTTGGAAACATTGTTCGATTTTTATGAAAGCTTTAAATAAATAAATAAATTATGCACCATCGAAACCTTAAGGCCACCTTTCCATATTTTACCCATTTTCACGGTTTTTCATCAGTTCAACAAAGTTAAACATGGGTGAATGTCTCTGAATTTGTTCCAGTCCTCAACCCAGTTAACAGCGTTCGGATAACTATCAGAAGTAGCAGCTCTTGTGTGCTAATCAGACCAAAAACGTGTTTGAATGGGTTCCAGATTGACTGAATTAGTCATGGCAACAGCAAAGCCCCGAGTGGAGTTTTACCATCACAAGAGCAAATGTGTTAAGATTAATTTATTGCTATGGGCAGCGTTATCCGAGTCCCAGTGCCAAGTGGGGATTTTCAGAAGAAAGGTTTTTCTAATGTCCCAATAAACTCTCCATTATATGATAGAACGCAAACGTATTTAAATGTATTGTTTCCATTCTCTCTCTTAGGCCCAGACTGCATGCACAGAGGAAGTTTGCTCAGTCTCAACCCAACTCTCCCAGCACCACGCCGGTGAAGATGGCCGACCCTTCTCTGCCCACGCCGCTCACACATATCACATTCCTCTCCAGACGCAAGCCCAAGACCGAAGACTTCCTCACATTCATATGCCTTCGAGGTATTGCTTCATTTTTCAATGTCTCTCCTTCCTCGCCTTACCATAAAGATTTATTATAGTCTTGAACTTTTTTTTATTTGTATTTTTTTATTATATAGTTCTGCTTATTTTTAATGGTGCATGCATTTATTTTTGGATAATTTTAGTCATCTCTTCTAATATAGCAACACAATATGTACTGACTACGATGCTTTATTAGAAACTGCACCATGTATTACAAAATAATACAATCAAAGTTGAAGAATTAACATGGTGCACTGCAGTCCTTGCGGGCAATTAAATGTGCTATAAATGTGTGATTGCCGCTACATTTAGCAGTAAATTGTAACTACCATCATTATAGGGCTTCCAGCAACATGGACCGAATCCACTCTGAGGAACAACTAGTCACTGAATTTGCCAAGTTTACAGCATGACTAATTGGAAAATATTTTTGAGTTGTTTTTGAGGCTGTTTAGACCCTGTGCACTTCAGATAAACTAAACAAGACTCTAATGTGTTTTGTGTTGGCTTTGCAGTGTTTCAGAAAGTGAGCTGAGCCATTATATGCTGTAACCAATTTGCTTTTTGCAGTTAATTATTCTGGTTTCGCCAGTGTTAGATTTACTTGCCCATGAACATCACATGTGATAGTCACAATTCAGGCTTGGGAAATTAATTAAATTGCTCACCTGATGTCCAGATAAACGAGCTGAACCGTAGCACCATTGTCTGGTGTAAATGCAGAGGTGGAGGTGGCCTTCATGGCATCTGAACTCCAGTGCACTTGCTGCACAAACATTGACTTTCAAAGTTAGGAGGTATCACACCAGCCGTTTCATGTTGAATAATGGAGGTGTTATCAGCCTGAAGTGTCACAGACACACACTTCAACAAACACACCCACCTCTTGTGAACCAGGCTATGCCTTTCACAGGAGATTTATGGGTACCTCCTACTTTCAAGGTCAGTACACAGTGTTTCTATAGAGTGAAGCTCAAATATTTAACCACAGAACAGGTAAAACTAAAGTCTTCAGGGTAACATGGAGCCTCACTGCCAATTCATGCTGAATCTGGGGTCCACAGAAAGCTATTTTATTTAAAGAGATGGTTTACCCAAAAATTAAAATTTGCTGTTAATTTACTCACCCTCAGGCCATCCAAGATGTGACTGTTTTTTTTTTGTTTTTTTTTGTTTTAAGTAGACCAGTAAAGAAGCTTTTTAGCTGAAAACATGGTCCTTGGTGATTCATAAAATACAAGTCAATGGCTACCATCACATTGAGAGTCAAAAACGCATATCAGGAAACACAAAATTAATACCAGTGGCTCCTGATGATATATTACAAAGTAATTGGTCTGTGCAGGAAACTGAACATTATTTACATTGACCCTATTACTTGTATCCCTCTAAATTCATTTATAAAATATTTAATGTTTTCAGCTAACAGTTAAAACTTGGTTTTAGACGTTTAACACATTTCAATCCATTCTGTGGATTTTCCTCTCAAATCAGGGCAGGAACTGCGAAAATGTCAATAGATTTTGATTGTCTACTCTCAGCTGTGACTTAATGTGAGACCCTTTTTATTGAACATTAATATTTATTTGACTTTAAATTAATTTACTAGGATCAGAAGTGTAGTCTGCAGTTTTTCAACTTAACGATAAAAAAAAAGAAATGTTTCTCTCCCGTTTCATCCATGTCCTGAGATGTGTAAAAGGTAGGAAAAGTGGAAGCAGAATGTTCCGTTTGTACCGTTCAAAAACCTGAAAACGAAAGCTTGCTGGACCTTAAATTTATTCGTTGGCCAGAGTTTTTACAACATAATACTTAAACCTTGCGGGAGGTGGTTTAGACTGCCTCATTTCAGTGTAAACTTTCCTTCCTCCCCGGGAGTTCAGAATAACAGCCCAGAAATATCCTTTAACATGCTTTCCAAAAACAAGATGTCCATGGGCCAAAATGTATGGCCATTGCATTCTAGAAAAGTAGTCTTTTAATCACTTTATCAGGTGATTGTGTGAGTGACTGTGCCGTATGAAACATTAGCTAGCTGTATCAGATGCGTTTTGCCTCATATGTACGCAATGGGGTCAGCTCAGGTCTTCTCAGACTTGGCTGTAACTTGACTTAGCCAGGTGTGTGAGGTCAGGGAGAGGCCAAAGCCACGCTTTTAGGGTGTTGCATATCAGCCTCAACTCTCAGTGACTCTCGTAGCTGTTTTTTTCCACAGCAGCAATTAGATGATGGGCCGCACCTCACTAACCATACACCGGCCTCCTAGTGGTATGATTTATAAATGATACTCCCCTGTAGAGGCCGGTGTGTATATTAGTGTGTGTGTGGAGCGTAATGTTGTCCAAATGGCATTACAGTACACTAATGTTATGATTAGTAGAGAGTTGTCATTACACCATGTGTCGGTTTATCCTTTAAAGAATCCCTGACATTCAATATCTTCCAGAGGGCTCTTTACTTTGGCATGTCTGTTCCAGCCATCAGGAGAGCCGGTCATGAGCAGACAGTGTTGATCTTTCGGAGGGGTGGAGATAGAGAGGATGGGTAAATACAGATCAATGGATTCTGGGTAAATATAGCCAGGGTCAAATGGGCAGTCCTACAATAGCTCAGTTATGGCTGACTGCCAGCGAAACGCAGCTCTTATCTGACACAGAGAAAGTATTTAAGCAGACCGCCGTGTGCGACTAGAGTAGAGTGCAGGCTGTGATTAATGCGACATTGTAAAATCTCTGATGGTTTTCTCAAAAGAAAAGTTTTTCTGTCTTAAGCAAAAAGACAATCTCTAGGACTCTGCCTTTTGAGACATCAACAGCTTTGATTTTTTTTTGTTTTTAAAATGGATTTTTATATTTTTTTACCATCCAGATTGCGTGTTCTGATGCAATGTTAAGTAATGCGCTGCAGACACAACGCAGGAATTACACTCTTGATGAAAGTTGCATGGACAAAGCGGTTTCCTGCATGTGTATGTACATGTATTTGAGCAGTCTGAGTGAAATCTACTACACAAACATAAAGATTTAAAACAATCTAGACATCTGTGCAGATGAAATCCATGCGTGTGATATCCTCTATTGCCTGTAAGTCCTCAGTGTCTTTAATAGTATATAAAATCTTAAAGGGGTCATAGGATGCCCATTTTCCACAAGTTGAGCCATGTCTTTATCAGGAGTTCTTTCTGAACTCACAAATTACACGTATTATATGACTGATAATCCTTGGAGTATGAGGTGAATATGAGGTCACCAATAGTAAATATTTCAGATTATTTATATATTGTACCTCAACATTTTATCACTATTCTACCAGTAAGAATCCTAATATTGGCTAATATCCGATTTTAATTGGTTTAATTGTAATAACAATATTACATTGATTTGTATTAACCCAAATACATGTAAGGTTTTATTTTATTATTTTGTTTTATTTAAGGTAAAGGCATTATTTTAGTGTTGTTTTAATGTAGTAATTATTATGTATTAGCTCCGTTATGCTCTGTATTAGTATAATATTCTGTATTAGCTTTTTATATTGTTTGTTTGTGTATTGCACCAAAGTTTTCAGCTTTCAAGCTTTGCCTGATCCAGAAGCAGTGGTTTATTATGGTCCTCCTCACATGGGGCTGTAATCTTGCAGTATGCTGCTGGTTATCAGCTGGTATGTTTTAAAACATAGTTTCTCTTGAAGAGAAACGTCAGTTAGACACAGTCACTCGTGGCTCCAAATCTCCACACACAGAAACAGAGGAGTGTAATGTACTCAGGCTTCTTACGGCTGCGACAGTCTGTAATCCAGAGCAGCAGCTTGATTTTGAGAGGATTATGGTTGCAATAGAAACTGAGATTACATGGTTGTGCCGGTTTATCCCATTTTCTTTGGCCACTGCTCACTAAATGCACTGGGTCTGTGGCATCCTTTAACACTTTCTGTCTCTGTCTCTCTCTCGCCTCTCAGGCTCACCGGCATTACCCAGTAGCATGGCTTACTTAGGCTGCTCTCAGGATGAGGAGGATCTGGATGATGAAGATGAAATTGAGGAAGAGAAACCACCCAGTGTGGCATCTACGTCATGCCAGTCTACGCCCAAGAAGGGTAAACAGTCTGGCAAGATTAACGGATTCGGTAAGAACAAAGAGTGGGGGAAAAAAAAAAAAAAAAAAGACACCGTTTGTCTGTAACTCACTGTGCAGTTGTTTTTATAATATAGTTTCTAATTGCATAAGTAATTTCTGTGTAAAAGCATGCAATATTATCATAAATTGCATGTAATAGTCCCGTTATTATTATCTTCATTTTAGAGGTCTCTAAGCAAATATTGATATGCAATTAATTGTGATTTACTTAGATGAATAAATAAAAATAAATAAATAGATTAGCAGCCTTAAAATTAATATTTAAATTTATACAGAAAACGTGTCCTCTGAAGTTAAGACTTCTGTAAAATGCTCAAAATGGCCTATAATCTTAAAATACCAAATAAAAGGCAATTAATTAGTCCAGCCCTTATATTAACCTAGTCTACCTAGTCAGTATACACCACTGTTTAAAAGTCTGGCTTCAGTAGGATTTCTTTCTTTTTTCTTTTTTTAAAGAAATTAAATTTTTGATTCAGCAAACATGCAATAAATTGATAAATTGACAGTGAATACATTTATAAAAGATAGCTTTTTTCAAATAAATGCAGTTCTTTTAAACTTTCTATTCATCAAAGAACCGGTAAAAACCAAATGTATCTCCATTTCCACAAAAATATTAAGCAGCACTCACTTTTCAACATTGATAATGGTAATAAATGTTTCTTGAGCGTCAAATCAGCATATTAGAATAATTTCTGAAGGATCTAGTGACAGTGAGGACATGAGTAATGATGCTGAAAATTCAGCCTTGCATCATAAAAATAAATTACATTTTTAAATAAATATATTAGAATAGAAAACTGTTATTTTAAATTGTAATAATATTTAGCATTATTACACTAAATATAAAAAAAAAAAATTTAAATTCCCAATATTTTTGTTCAAGTAAATGCTGTATTTGTGAGTATGCAAGATTTCTTTCAAAAACATTTTTAAAAATCCTCCCGACCCCAAACTTTTGAACAATAATGTAAATGTCTTGTGCAAGCTGTACATATGAAGAGAGAGAGCGAGAGCGAGATACTTGACGCTTCCTGTGTGGAGATGGGAATGTTGTGTTGGAGTGGGACGTGACGCTTCCATCTTTCCACTCCAATTATCACTTTTGTAAGGAAGGCGGTAACAAGGTGTTTATGCATTCAGCTCACAGCTGTGCCGAGTAACGGCAGGCAACACGTCTCACACACCCCCACAACAAATGAAGGAAAAACAGCCTTGTAAGACAGTTTGAACACTTCGCTGACACTCTCAATAGATGCTGTGTGAGTTTAAAGAGGGGCAGCAAGGTATTGCGGGAGCGTGTGTTAATGAAACATGTTATCAAACAAAAATAGTCTTTCAGCAGATAATTGAAAGCCAAGCGCCTGTCAAATTGAGTGTGTTAAAGTGTCTTCAGCAGCAATCAGAACATCAAGCTAGCATCTATATATAAACACATACAGATACACACATTAGTTGTGTAAGCATTTATACTCTATGTATTGTAGGTCTGTGGCTGTGAAGCCAACACTAGAGGTAGACCGACATGGGTTTTTCTCTAGCCGATGCCGATATTTAGAAATCAGGGCAGCCGATGGACGATATATGATGCCGATTTTTTTCTCAGATGTGTTTGGCTGATTTTCTTTGATTTTTTTTTTCTCATAAAAGTGAGTTTGAGTAAATTATTATTGCAGGGTACGTCTCTCACGCAACCAGAGAGAGATTCTCCGGTGTTCCGCAACAACGCTTAGCTGCCCGCAGATGCGCCTGCCTATAAATCAGCTCAATTTGCAGCACAATCGGCCGATGCCGATGCCGATGAACTAAAAAATGCCAAAAATGCCGATCAATCTGTCGACCTCTAGCCAACACAATTTTGTTGTTTATTTTTCTTTGAAGCCTACAGACTAGTCTGAATCCCCGTTTGCATACTACACTCCTACATGAGAAATCAAGATCAGTATGCACCACATCATCTTACATAGACAGTAGTATGTCATAGGTGCACCTTGACTGTCATGTCTACTCGTCTATTCTTGTTTGATCAGCTCTGAATAAATGAGCTCAGTTTTACTTCTCAGCTGGCAATAAGTCACCTTAAATTGATCTGGATTGCTCCAGATTGGCCCACATTCAGGAATTTGCTCCTTGTTCTTAACAGACTTGAGGTTTTGTGTATGTAGACTACCAACTACCTCAGCTGGTTGGATATGTGAAATGCACACAGTCCCAGGATCAGGAAAGCCCCCGGCCCACATCGCTCTCGCTCTCTCTGTCTCTCATGCTGCCTATCCTCAACCTACCCGGTGCCTGGACGCAGCCCGTTGTCTGAGCTGGCCCATGTCAGATGTGACACTTTAATATGGAGCACAGGTAATGCTCAAGTCTTTCTCTCTCTGTGTGTGTCTCAGAGCGAGAGAAACCACAGTGCTCTGCTTTCATTCGCTGAACCTCAGTAACCCAGAGGCGTGTTTACATTTCTAAATTAAACACCTTTTATTGAGTTCAGCTGTCGGTAGCAGTTCCAAGCACAAGCCTTACAACGCGAAAGCCCATCCGTTTCTCCCTCGCTGACACGCTCTGCTGCCTGTTGATATTTAAACACTGTAAAATTAAAGTTAGCAGTCATAAATACAGAGAGCAGTTTGATTATGTGTTAATTAGAGCCGTCCAGAGGGCCTTATAACAGACAGACTACCCTGTCCAAAAACGCAGACTTTTTTTTCCAGCATTATCTGTAGAGAAAGTACATGTACTAATGCATTAAAAACGAACTCAAAACAAACTCACGGATGAAAGGGAGCGATGCGTTTTGTTTTTGTTGTTTTTTTAATTATTATTATTATTATTATTATTTTATTTATTTTTTTGCGTTTTTGTTTTGTGTTCTTGGTTTTGTTTTGTGTTGTTTTTATTGTTTTATTATAATTTGTGTTTTGTTTGGTTTGGTTTGGCTTTTGATCTTTTGTTTTATTTAAGTTGTTTTGTTTTGCATTTTGCTTTTTGCTTTGATAAATGTAAATAGTTTAGTCTACACTTTAATTTTAACTTGCTCACGACTTATAAGTGCAAAAGTGCTGACAGTTGTTTTTTTTGTCTGTGCATGTTTATTTTTAATTTTTTTGCAGTGGAATTTATTTCTCTAATAGTTTATACTTTTGGCACTTTCTGTCACTCACGTCTGTCAGAACTCTTTCTCTGTAATGGTTTTGTTTCTGTTGCAGCTGTAGACTGTGCATTTTTGGGCATTGCACTCATGATAAATGTGTACAACAGTAGTATGCTACTTTGTCATCACATGGCATCAAAGTGCCGAATGGTTATTTAACTTTATCAATCCCATATTTTAGCCATCCATCTGGTTCATCCTTCACACTAGAAATAAAATGTCAGTTTGAGTGCATTGCATCATGGGGTACTGTAGTACATGCATACAGTGTACAATTCTAGCAGGTCACCCAGGTATTATAGGCTTACAGAAAACTTCAATACTGTGCACAGTATACATACTATATAGTGCAGCAGAATTAAGCATATTATAAACACAGCAATGTTATTTTGGTTATCATGGACCAATGAACAAGAACTCATGATGTACCTCATTATTACATATACATTTAGATTAGTAGCTAGAAGCAACTTGATCCAAAGGCTATGCCAGTTTGTGTGCTTTTAAGTACGAAATCAGTGCACTGGCAGCAGTAAAGTACATAAGTATGAAGTAAGGCAGAACAGCAGTCTTGTCAAAATAGTTTTGACACTGCATTTGATAACAGTTATAAACCAGTCCTCTTGCATAGTGCAGTGGGTCGTGCACAATATCATACCAAAACCCGCTATGTTTCCACACTAAAAAGCCACTGCAAATAGGATTATAAAAAAATATGATTTGAAACATGCTATATAGGATACAAGAATTTAATGAAAATGTAACTGACAAGAAAATGCAATGCAATATTTTGATTAATCTTAAAAAAATAATAGTTTGTGTAATTTACTAACCCTGTGTTTTTTTCCTGCAGTGTTAAATGGCCTTAAGGTACACAAGGACAAAGAGCTCACTCCCAGATCCAGAGGCAGAGAGTCATCTGCGGGAAGAGATCGCAGCGAGGGATGTGATGCATCTGGTGAGATCTCCCACAAGCACACTGCGGCCACGGCCAAGAGCCGAAACACCAACGGCCACAACTATAGACGAGCCGCAGAGGAACTCCGCAAGCAGGTACAACCCTTCATGTCCGTCTCTGTGTCAGTATGAGCAGGGATCATGGGAAGTTGGGTCATAGAGTGCAGTGATTGGCCACATGAAGACATATTACACAGTGAGAATTATACTGGATCTGCCAGTTAGGAGGGAACATCCATCCCGATGTGGCTTACAGACATTCAGACCACCACCATCTCCGGTGCTAACGAGCCTGTCGTCTTTGAGTGCCACAAAACTGATTAATTAAGTGAACAATGGACCTCAGAGAGCAGGGAGAGACAGATCACCTCAACTCATCCTCAGTTTCTCTCTTTCTTTCTCTCTTTTTTATGTCATTGACACTCTAATCTTGAGATTCTCAGCCTTGGGGTTGTACAAGTTAGATATCTAAAAAATAAATCATGCCGCTTCATGTGTTTAAAATATAGACTGTAACATGATCCAGAGGCAAAGATGAGCTCAAAAAAAAAAAGTCAAAGATGAAAGTGATAGTTCACTCAAAAATGAAAATTCAATTACTCACCCCCATTCCAAACCTGTATGACTTTCTTCTTTGTGTGAAATACAAAATATATTTTTTTAAATGTTCCCGTACAAACTGTACAAATCTTCTTGTAAAATTTGCTAAGACTTTTTTATACAAAATGAGAAGTGTGGTCTTAGCTTGAGCTGTTTTAATCTTTCTGATGAGTCAGCATGAAGCAGTGGCACCTGTAAGTGGCGGTTTAACATTTGAACGGCAATGACTGACCCAACATTAATCCCTTGAGTCAGATAAAGTCTGTTATCATGCTGACACACACATAAACTCATTGCCACTCATCTGATATACTTAAAACAATAAACAGCGCTGATAGATGCAGCATAATCCACAATACTGTGAGAATCTATTAGACAGCTGTTGACCTCTCCCTCTCTTTCTCTCTCTCTCTTTCTCTTTCTCTCTCTCTCTCTCTCTCTCTCTCTCTCTCTCTCTCTCTCTCTAAAAGCTAATTTTCTGAAGGGTGTTAATGTGTTGAAGAGCTCTGGCGTGAGCATAACATATTGCACATGAGCTGAATAAGGGTTTATTCTTCATTGTTTAATTGGACTATTCATTTTATAATTTTTTTATGAGCATTTGTGTAGAATAACATGATCTGGGAAGAAGAGAGATCTCATGCTGCTTACAGCAGGTGCAAGATCAGGTTCAGCAGCATTATTATTGGACTGTATGTTCATTGTTATCTCGAGTTATGGTATATTTATTTGTTTCATTGTATCCATTGCAGTTATAAATGAGTCTTTTTGATATTTTGGCTTTGTTTTTGAAGTTTTCTTGTTCTTTTAAGGGGTGGGTACTTGGCTGTGTTTGTTTCCAAGGAGAAAGTGGGTTGAACCCCCCCCCTTCTCCCTTTAAATAAATAAATAATACAGGTGCATCTCAATAAATTAGAATGTCGTGGAAAAGTTAATTTGTTTCAGTAATTCAACTCAAATTGTGAAACTCGTGTATTAAATAAATTCAGTGCCCACAGACTGAAGTAGTTTAAGTCTTTGGTTCTTTTAATTGTGATGATTTTGGCTCACATTTAACAAAAACCCACAAATTCACTATCTCAACAAATTGGAATACTTCATAAGACCAATAAAAAAAACATTTTTAGTGAATTGTTGGGCTTCTGGAAAGTCTGTTCATTTACTGTACATGTACTCAGTACTTGGTAGGGTAATTACTGCCTCAATTCCGGCGTGGCATGGAGGTGAACAGTTTGTGGCACTGCTGAGGTGGTATGGAAGCCCAGGTTTCTTTGACAGTGGCCTTCAGCTCAT